TTTCACAAGGTGTTTCCATATTTTTGTTCCACTGTACCTGTATCAGCTTAGTTCAATCAGATGTTCAAGCGGATTACAGATGTTATTGGCTGCCAGATGTGTCAGCTTGGTGTACTGAATTCCGCATGTTATGAACGCCAAACCACTTGTTAATTTAATCATATCTTCCTCTCATTGTATTAATAAATACAATACATACAATAAATATGATTCTATTATTTGCTTTCCTTCCTGGTATAGAAATTTAATGAACAGCACCGTATTTCTTATCTTCTTATAAATCTGTACTACAATCTAATTTTTTGAACCGTCGATATTTGCATCTTTATATCAGAATCTATCTCATATTAAGGTCCAGTTCTGTTAAGTGTGCAGTGCGTGAATGCAAAAAGGCCACCAAATCCCTAGTTCGACCTATAGTGTATTTTAAGGAATAACATCCAAACACTTGGTTATGTATGAATTTGGTGTTTCTATGCCGTTGGTACGTATAGGGCTGCCCAGGAAAACTTTTTTTTTTCTTTGTTATGAGTTTCAATTCACAGCTGAGTCCTTGAAATTGGAGTGGCTTCATTTTCGTCTAAATATTATTCAGCGTACTTGTTTGTTTCGGTGGTTACATGCTGAATAATAGAATCATCCATGAGAGCATTAAAAAAGGATAAGGGGCTAGCTTTAGCTTCAATGAAGATTTTCAGTCCTGGAACTCCGATGAAAGGAAATCTTGGAGGGAGTGATAGATTATTAGCGACATCAATCTTACACCCCCCTCTAGCCATTGTAAGGCAATCATCCTCCAATTCTGATTCATCAGTACTTGAAATGCCCTCAGAGATTTCATTAGCAAAAGAAAAATTTAGAAACTAAATTTAAATCACAGGTTATGCCATGGAAAAGTCGTTGCAACTGAAATCTTAGCGACATTCAAGTTCTTTTATAAAGCTGTGTTTGAAAGTTCCTCCCTCCCACTATTTATGATGCAAAAAGCATCAGAGAATTATCAATAAAGATTCCTTACCATTAGATAAGCAGCTTTTTGAGCTAATAATTTGCAAAGTGACAAAGCACACACACACGAAAAAAAAACCTACTCTATTTTTTTTTTTGGTGCATGACGATGTTTTTTCCTTTTATAAACAGAAGATCAGTTAGTTTTATAATCCTAATTGTAATATTCAAATGTTGTAAGAGTGTTTATTCTGTTCATTTTTACCTTATTTATTAAAAGTTCTGAATAACAGAAATAATTTTGTTGTCCAAGCTGTACAATATCTACACTGTTAGGTTTCAGCTATCCTAGGACTTCCTTCTTCCTAATTACAATAACATCTCAATAGATGCAAGAGAGGCTTGTTGAGCATTTATTGCCAGAAATAGCCATTGGCTATGTTCCTTGTCTACGCCCCATTCTTTCAGTTTGGCTACTTTTTGGCAAAATGAGGATTAAATAGTAATCAGTAATCAATAGAAATCTATTTCACATTTTCAACACACTGTTTTCCATAGTTCATTGCGTTTTAGGAGAAATTAGAAATTTACTTAATATTTAAAATAATATCCTTTATTAAAACTAAGAGACCTAAGTGAATCATAGAAACTAGCGCGTGTTGCTTTAGTTTTAATATAGGCAACTTAGTTAAGAACATTTAAACATAAGCAAGATTTAGCACTTAAGAACATTTGCTATCAAAAATTCTGTTCTAGTAACGCTTACAAATGGCACTAGTAGTATGTTTCATTAAGTCTTGAATAATTTATGAAACAGGCATAAACACTATTATTAGGTTTGATTGCTTTTTTAATTCAATATGATGAAAGACCATGATGAGTTTGCAGTGTACCTGATATAGCATATGAGGGCTATTTGCCTAAGGGAAAGAATGCCTACGAGGAGGATTTTCTAAGGGCAACTAGCCTGTGTTCGCATTTCGCATGGGGAAAAATACAAAAACGACTAAGTGATAGGCCTTTTACTAAGGCTGGGAATTTTAATAATATTAGTATTTAATATTGCAAAACATGAAATTAATGATTTCAAGGAAAAGTTGAATTGAATTCCATATTCAATCTAATAATACCGAGAAGAGATAAAATTGAACGCATATTGATCAAATATCAGGTCTGTCTTCTAAATGAGTATTAAAAATCATTCAATAAGAATGCTGCAGAAGAAAGAGATTATTATAGATTTGCACATAATGTATGGATTTTTTAAATCACGTAAACAGAAACTGTGCTAACACCATTAATTTCTTTCAACATATTTCGTCCTCTGTTAGTTGTCTGTTGAGTTAGCTTGAAAACAAAATAATGATCTTGTTAATAGCTGTAAGGAAAACGAGAATCTCTTTTTTTCACTTTAATGTTTTATGACAGTGTTTAAGCAACGTTTTTACAATATATTGTAATAAAATATGCATAAAATGTTTTTATGCATAAGTACTAAACAACTATGTTTTTATACCAGTTGGATAATCTCTAGATGCCTGTGTTTATAGACTTATTTGATAAAGTTAAATGGCAATGCACAGAAAGCCTATTTACCTTGAGGTGGACATCTTTATAGAAAGTCTTTTTAAGAAAAATGGCTTGTATTCACGTCACAGCTGCAGTTTTAAATCAGAAGAAACAAAGAAGGAAAAAATAAATAAAATTTGAAAGCTTTCAGATTTTACATTATGCCCGAAGGGTCCTTTTTTTTTAACATTTTGTGTGTTACCTTCATTTATTAAACATCATGTTCGCCGCACTTAAACCATAAAATTCAGTTAAACGGCAATATTGCAAAATAATTTGAAAACGAGCAGATCTTCAGAATTTCCGATACACAGTCTCACACACTGGAGATAAAAATTTTCTCCCCTTACGTACAGTGTTGTCATTGCTCACTTTGAAATCGTTGAGTTTGTTTATCAAGAATTCCTTACAGTGTTCCAAAATATGAAATCGATAATAAAACAAATTCCAAATTAGGGCTTCCAGATGCCCATATTTGGTGGAAGATTACGTTATTCAAAATCTGATGGCTCTAAGTACCGTTGTTTTATCACAATGCGAGAAACATACATACATTTATGAAGATTCTTCATTATTTAATTTCTTTAAATATAATACAGGGCTGTAATATTTGATGGCAACAGTTTGAAAAGTGAATGAATGGAGAAAGTGAATTGACGCAAAATTGCAAAACAAAATTAATAGCCCTTCTGGGCTAATGCCCTTTGGACTAGTAAAATTTTTTTATTCAGATTTGAATAGCGTTTTATTTGCAAGATTGCTGTTATGAAAATTTGTCCAAACATAGTTAAATGACTATAAAAATTAGTTTCCCAAACATATACAAAACAATAAGCTATTTAAATATATGTTTATTATGCTACATTTTACTGCGGGAGATGAACTCATCAATCGCCTTTAAAATATCCATAAGTATCAGCTAATGAAAGATCCATAAGTATCAGCTATTGGTAAAATTATAATAAATGAAGTTAAGTAACAATTGTATAAAAAATATTAAAAAAATTATTTTATTACTCGCTTATTTTTATATTTAATAAAAATCCTTTGGTTCATTATTGTACTTACTTAATAAAGTTCAGAACCTCTAACATATAACAATATACATCTAAGTGTTGCAACTGTGGCCGGAGCTAGACATTTTGTCGACCAGTGTAACATCTGAGGGTTTTAAATTTTGCTGCCTGGTGTATTACAAAATTTTAGAACATTTGCCACCTCTAAATACCGCTGCCCATTGTATTATCTAAATTCTAAAAATGTTCCCGCCTTTTAATTCTGCCACTCAGTGCAGCCGCTCCTGCTGTGATGTCAGCCCTGGTTTCAACTAGTATCAGTTTAAAGCTTACGATTATTAAAAATTCTTGTAACATGTTTATTATTCTAGTATTTCCGAAGATAAAGATGTTTCTATGTTTATTACGTTAATATCAATCTTATGCTATCAAAAGTCTGTCATGAAAACATTTATTGTATATATAAACTTTCAATACAATACTGATATGCTTCTATTAAAACAAATCTTCATTAATTGTTAAGGTGCTTTAAATCATTAAAATTTTGAATTTTTTTTTAATAATTCTGGTCAACTAATCATGTTGTGGATATTTGATTCTAAAATAAAAGAAAGGAACTTTGAATAAGTACTCTGGATTTAAATATTGGCTTCAAACTGTCAAACCAGATTTTAGGTGAAGAGCTGCTTAAGTCTTATTATTCAATTATTTTTATTCTCCATGTCAGATATTGGATGAAGAAATAAATTCCATTTTTACTTTAAATACATGTTGAAAGTATTTCTGTTCTCTTGGCTAATTCGATAGCAGTATTAAAAATGAGAGCAAAACATAGATAGAGTTTTGGCGACTTAACAGTTATGTGCAGCAACCCCAAAGCGAAACAGTTCCCAGCAGGTGTCCTATTAGTGCAATCGCACCCATCGAAATTGCTGAAGGAAAGAAAACCTAACGAGAGCGTATATATGCTTGCTGGCCACTTAAAGCAAGATTTTGGTTGAACATATATATGCTTGCTGGCTGTTTAGACCACAATTTTGGTTGAACATATATATATGGTTTGGCCACTTGGAGGGTTAAAAAAACTAAAATATAATATATGAAAACAAGAGATAAGGTTATATATATATATATATATATATATGTATATATATATAATTAAGCAAAAATATCTGTTAAACTAAATATTTTAAGTATTAAATATTATGTATAATTGCATTGTTTTATACAAATATAAACCGGTACTTTCAGATCAATGAAACAAATGTAATTAAACCTTTATGCACTTGCTTTTTCTAGAGCTACATACTTAGAAACAGTTTATTTACATTGCACTTATTTTATTCATTGTACTTTGATGAGTTCAAGAAATAACTTTGTTATTTGCTTTTATGATGTTCAGCAGATCATGAGGATGAATTTCAAAACATTAAAAATCAGCAAAAATCAAAATATTTCAAATAACAACATAATGTACTGTATCTAAATTAGAAACAAATCTCAATAAGATGAAAGTAGCCATACTACTTACAAGATATAAGATAAGGGAATATTTTTAATGAATAACAAAACTTTTCATACAGAAAATGCATATTATTAGGAACCAGTTAAAGGTTCTGCTTTATCATCATTCAATACAATATTTTCCTCTGGTATTTTCCTTGATTTTGATATCCCATACAAATCTTTCATATTTTTACTCAATAAAAAAACAACTAAACTGCAGATGGTGGCAAATAAAATAAAACATACAGCTAAACTATGAAAATAGTATCTAAACATATTATCGTCATACAATTTACAGTTGCCTTTATGCCCACACTTTTCTTCCCATACAAAACAAGTTTTGTCTATCACATATCCATAAATAAGAGGATAAGGAATAGTAGCTAAAATAAAATATTGAATTCTATTAGGAATAATAAGCAGAAAAGAACTTCATTATAATATATTGACTTAATGATTACAACCATAACTATTTTAAAAAGTAACTAAGTTCAAATTTTAGACTTAAAAAAATTTCAGCAAAAATTGCTTCTTCCTACGAATATTGCCAAAAAATCATAATAATGCATATTTAATAATCTTGCATCATTTCTGTAAGTTTTTTCCCCCCAATGGCAGTTTGTGAACAATTACATATGTAACCCAGTCCATTAATCTATACAAGGCCAGATGTGGTGGTCTCTTTATTATGGAGGCACCTAATAGGTGGGCCACCATCACCTTTCCTATAAAGGGACGGACAGTTACAACAATGCCTTCTCCGGGATTCGAACCCAGGCCCTTCAGCATCGCAGTCAGCTTTCCTGACCACTATACTGAGTGGGCGGCACATTCATTTCTGTAAGGTTAATCCTCTTATTTCATTTTTAATTATATCGAATATTTTGTAGATTGAAGGAAGGAAACAAGCTTTAATTTTCTGAAATCTGAACAGCTGAGAACAGATTTTGCCTCTTGAAAACATAATAAATATTTTATAACTTTAACCCTTTCAGTCCCAGTGGGTTATATAAATCCCAGTAGATGTTTAAAGAAGATGTTTTAAGAAGAAGGACTGAAAGGGTTAAGTGACTTTTAATCAATTTACATGCAGAGCATGTAGTCACAGTTTTTATCACGCAGCTTACTTTGCAGGAATTCTACAGACAATTTATCCAGAATGCTCACTAAATCCCAAGCAGTATTCCTCCCAAAATTTTCTGTTTAATAAATGTACTTCCTAGGACCTTGAATTTCACATCTTTCATGTTTTTTAAAATTATTTTTCATTCTTTTAAGCATAAAAACCTCATTGTTTTTCTACATATCTACAGTTGTGAAACTTGTCTGGCTATTCAATTATTTCATAATAAAATATGATGCCAGTTTGTCATTAATATCATTTCAATCAAGATACATATTCAAGCATTTTAAGTTGATGTTGATTATGTAACAATATATATTTTGATTGCATAAACTTTAGGAACAGATACAGAAAAGACTAGCGAAATCAAATGAAAAATTGAGAACATCATGAAGTAATTAATAAGTTCTTCATATCATCAACATTAAAGAAAGAACTGTTAAGTATAAAACAATTCTACAAATAAATGCAAATCATTTTTAGAGAAAAATTCTAAAAAGTCTGAGAAACATAAAAGTGTATACTAGACTTTCAGGTGCCAGCAACATTTTTTTCTTAAAACACCAATTTTTTTATATGCTTTAAGAATGCAAATTTAATATTTTTCATAATAAAATATGTGGAGAGCTGATTTTTAGTTTCACTTCACTAAATAAAATATTTCTGTTCCATTTCAAATAGAAACTTTTCTTTGCCTTGGAATGGCAACAATCTGAACTTGAGAACTTGATTTTCGATTTGTTTTGACACAGTTTGAATACTGCCAATGAGAAGTTAGATTAGATTATAGAATTTCTGATATTCAATTAAATTCATTTTTAAAATTAGATTGGGTATTTTCAATAGAAAATTATCATTAAACCACTACTTGTAGAATTTTAGATGCTGCTTGTCTCAAATAGAATCGTTAAAGAATGTAGCCAATTAGCAAGAGGCGCAGCAACGTATGTCCTGTTACGTCACAACTTCTGTCTTACCTCACAGCCTCTTTTTGACCAGCACAGTTGAATTGAAAAGATCGCTATGCAATGCTCCTGGTACAAGTCTCATTTCTGTGTAAATAAAATACATTTTTATATCAATGCTGTTTCATTCAATTATGTAGTCAGATTAACCGATACCACTCGTCAATGGTAATCATCCTTCAATGGTGAATTTAGGACAAAAAATCCTTTACAGTAACGGATACTTTTGGTTTTGATTTTTCCCGCTGGTGTGTGTTCCACCTGAAAAATGGCCAAATCCAAAACTTCTGCTGTGGTGATTTCATCTTTTATTCAAGTTGATGCATCTCTTTGGTTTCACATGTTGGAATCTACTTTTGAACTAGCTGCTCCCAAACCGGTAACGGAACAAAAGACAAAATACAACTTCACTTCACTTAGCTAATCTTGTAACTGTTGTTTGTGATGTCATCATTTGGCCCGATAAAGTCAACACATATGATGATCCAAAATCAAAAGTTATAGAAAGATGTTCGGAATCCAAGACTCAAGAGATTCGTCGGCTGCTAGCAAGCGAAAGCCTTGGTGATAGAAAACCTAGCGAATTTCTCCACAAGGATGAAACGTCGCACAAAGAATCACAACATAGAAGATTCACTTTTATTTGAACTCTTTAATCAAGCGAAGCTTGTTCCTATTCAAATTTTTTTAGCTTCCATCTCTCTTATTACTTCGGACAAAGCTGCGGAAGTAGCTGATCAAATTTTAGCTACCAACAACATGAATATATCCGCCATCGTCTTTAACAATGAATCTTCTTTGACAAATGCCAACTGTTCTTCTTCAGCTAAACTTCGTGAAGAAATCAAAGTTCTTAGAAAAGAAATGTCTGAACTTAGTTGCTCCAGGAGTTTACCAATTTTGCTCTCGTACCAATTTTGCTGGTTGCAAATATTCCAAATCGCATGACAAAATTTTGTGCTGGTATCATTGAAAATTCAAGGATAATGCAAAAAAAGTGCGTTTCTTCATGTGCCTACAAGAGAAACTTGAAAAAGGAGAGTAGAGGCGACCGACTCTTCCTGTCCTCGTACATGGCACCACCTTTTCATTAGTGACCAATCAACAGGTAGGTGTTTTCTAATAGATTTGGGGAGTGATGCCAGTTTAATTGTTGCAAATAAATCTGAAATGAAGGCACCAGTACTCCAAACTTTTCGTGCTACCAATGCTTTGTCTATTGATGTGTATGGTCGCAAAACAATATCTGTTAATTTTGGTTTAAGATGCAATTTTACTTTCTCTTTTTATATTTTTAATGTTACATGCTCAATCATAATTGCAGATTTTTTATATTACTTTAACTTATCTCCTTTACGTAACAAGCGTCTAATTGATTTAACAACAAATTTTAAAGTAACTGCCAAATTAAATACTTGTAACATTTTTCTGTAAAATATTGTGTTGATAACGGATTTGGTAAATTATTGTTACAATATTCTGATATTACTAACTTACCGAATCCCAATGAACTTCTGAAGCACAATACTGTGCATTATATAAATACTAAAGGTCCTCCAGTTGCTGCTAAACCTAGACGTTTAGCTCCTGACTGCCTCAAAATTGCAAAAGCTGAATTTCAGTGCAAAATCCAATTGGGTCATATGAGACCTTCAAAAAGCCACTATTCATCACCCTTGCACATGGTATCCAAGAAAGGGTCAAGAAAAGTCTGTTGAATGGAGACCTGTTGGCGATTATCAATCTCTTAATGCACAGACTGTTTAAAGAAAAATATCCTATTCCTTGCATAGCTGATTTTACCTCAGAATTATATAGTAAACAAATATTTAGTCACATTGATCTCGTAAAAGCGTATCACCAAATTCCCATAAATCCAGATGTTATACATAAAAAAGATATATGTACTCCTTTTGGTTTGTTTGAAAGTTTGAGAATGGAGTTTGGGCTTTGTAATGCTTCCTCATAGGTTTATCGATGAAGTCACTAGACACTTTGCTTTTATGTATGCATTTATTGATGATTTTCTTATAGCTTCTAATAATGAACAAGAACACTCACAACACCTGATATTTTCTAAACTTAAAGAATATGGTTTATGTATAAATGTAGAAAAATGCAAATTTGGTCAGTCTATCATAGATTTTCTAGGATTTAAGTTATCGGGTAAAGGAATTGAACCCCTCCCAGATCATGTAAAATGCATCCTAGATTTTCCTCAGCGCCAGACTCTCACACAATTACACCGATTCTTAACTTTATTTAATTTTTATAGACGTTTTCCCAAAGCTGTTCATATTCTAGCACCTTTAGTCAAATTCCTTGAAGGCCATACAAAAAAAAAAAAAAAAAAAAAAAAAAAAAAAAAAAAAAAAAAAACCCTTATTCCAAAGCTTCTACTGAGCAGTTACAATGGGGCAATGAAGCAACACTCACCTTCAAAGCATCTAAGGAAGCTATCGCTAAAGCAACCCTGTTATGGCATCCCATGCCCGGTGCACAATTAAGTCTATGGGTCGATGCGTCTGATGTAGCAATCGGCGGCTCGCTCATGCTACTTGTTAAACAACAATGGGAACCTATAGTTTTCTATTCAGCTAAACTAAGCAAATATCAAAGGAATTGATCCACTTATGACGATGAACTCTATGCTATGTATTCTTCAGTAAAAAAATTCAGGCACATGTTTGAAGGGAGAAATTTTATCATTTATACTGATCAGAAATCGCTTAAATTTGCATTCCAGCAACATCTTAATAAATGCAGTCCTCGTCAATTATAACATTTGGATTTTATCTCTCAGTTTACTACTCATATTGAATATACTAAAGACTCTAATAACATTGTCACTGATGCATTTTCCCGAATTGAGATAGATGATATTTCATCTACTGTGATCCATTTTCAAAAATTCGCTGCTGCACAATTAAGCCATGAAGAACTTCAACACTCATCCTCTCTAAAATTAGAGAAACATTATTTTTCTCTTGAGAATATTCATCTGTATTGTGACATGTCACAAAAACATCCCTGTTGTGAGCTCCATGATTTATATTTGTTAATGATATTCAACAGCCGTTGCGTTCCTTTTTAGACAGAGCTTGCTTTTGTAGTTTGGCAACAGTAAGAAAAATGAGAATAAGGTTTTGATTTCCTTATGTGCATAAGCAAATAAAGTTTGGCTTTCTTAAGCAAGAAAATGCAATTGTTTATTTAAAAATATTTCTTTTCAAGTGCTATAGAATGGAATCAGATTTAATTTAAAGGTGAGATCGACTGAATGAAATAATATTCAGGTAGATTCAACGCAACAATCCCCATCCTTTTGTTCCTCAGTCTATGAGATTAACAGTTTTCAAAACTTTACATTTTTTCTGTCATCCAGGTATCTCATCCTTCATTGATTTAATCATTAAACGTTTTGTATGGCCAGGAAGGAGAAAAGAAATATCTTTTGTGCAGAGTTGTGATTAGTGGCAATGAGCAAAAATCGACAAACACACCAAATCCATCGGCACATTTGCTGAACTCGATGCTCATTTTACATACATATGAATATATAATATAGATTTTATAGGCCCTCTACTTCCACCTGACGGAAAACAGTTTTGCATGATTATTGTAGACTGGTTCACAAGATGGCCAGAAGTTATTCCAAAAACAGACATGACTGCAGAAACAGCTGCTCGTGCTTTAGTACACGGCTGGATATCAAGATTTGGATGCTTAGTTACAATTACATCTGACCAGGGTAAAAATTTTGAATCTAATCTTTTTAGAGATATAACTCGCACACTTGGGTGCAACAGGATTAGAACCTCTGCATATCACCCACAGTCAAATGGAATTATCGAATGCTTCCATCGGCATCTCAAAACAGCCCATAATACAGCAACATGGACTGTAACTCTTCTACTTGTCCTCTTAGGCATATGCTCAGCTATTAAGAATGATGACAAAGCAACTTCTGCTCAACTTGTCTATGGCAAGCCATTAAGATTACCTTCCGATCTAGTAACAAGTGATGTCATAAACCAGACCTTAAAATCTGCATATGTATACAGTTTACAGTAAATAGAATTTTATTATTGATGTAAATGGGAAACGTACTACAGTTTCAATTGATTGCGTAAAACTCGCTTACCTCCTGCCAGATGACGTTACTCATACCTCATCTCTACCTCCAGTTTCAACTCCTTCCCCACAATGTTTTAATCAAACATCTACCATTAAAAGTGGGCATAAAGTCCGATTTCCAAGGCATTTAGCCCCAGATGCCATACTTTGAGTAGAAACTTATACTATAACATTTTGTATTATGCATATGTTTCTACTATATCTATACCACATACAATATATTTTTACTATAGTGAACTTCATATTCTATATTGCACTATTACATCATCATTTTCTGTATATATTGTAGATATTTATTGCAGTTTGTAATTGTGACTTCGTCACTTCTGTAGCCAATCAGCAAGAGGTGCAACAACATCTGTCTAACCTCACAGCCTCTTCTTGGCTGGCGCCGTCGGAGTGAAAAGATCGCTACGCAATGCTCCTGGTACAAGTCTCATTCCAGTGTGAATAATAAAATATATTTTTATATCAGTGCTGTTTCATCCAATTATGGAGTCAGATTAACTGATACCACTCGTCAACGTTAATCATCCTTTAAGAACTTAAGACATATGCAGCTATTGGTTCTTGCAATCAATCTCCATATTGAACAAATACACATTTATTAGCATAAAACTGTATGATAAATAATTTGACTCTGTAGCTGACTTTCTGCTTGGCATGTATTTCAAACCAAAGCATCCTACAGGAAAACATTGTTGATATTACACCAACAAAATAATTAATATCCCTGAGGCCAACCTCCCAAATTTTTATATATTTTCATCACTGTGTGACTTTCAGCACAAGACAGTTTGAGAAATGATTCACCCAATGAATGAATACCAAACCAAGCATGGTAACTTTTTATCTTGATGATGATTACGTACTTCGGCTAACTGCACTAAAATGTGTCGAGAGGGAGAAATGTTAACAAAAAAAATTTTTTTTATATCCAGAAAAAAAAAAAAAAAAAAAAAAAAAAAGAGCGAGAGAGTTTGTAAATGATACTCACAGGCTAAAAAGATTACATTAGTGCTGTCTGAACTGAGCATAACTGATTTGTTATTCAGATAAGCACAGGACACACTATAGCTAGTGTAGCCGGAAGACAGAATTTAAGGGTAAAATTTTTAGAATTTAGTGAAGCTCTGAAGGATAAAATTAGAGATGGCAAAATCTTTAGAATTTAGGGAAAGCACTGGGGCACAAAATTTAGCAGAAGCAAAATGTTTAGAATTTAGGACACACAGGAACTGCACCGGCCTGCAAAATGTCTAGCACCAGTTCTGAATAAGCCTTATGTACACGTGGGAATTTATTTATTTGAAACTCAAATAAGCCTTAGGCATATGCAGGAAATAGCATGAGTATAAAAAATACCTAAAATAATACATTGAGGCCTAATTTCATTAGCATGCAATAGAAACAAGACAAAATTTAGTGGAACAAACATGTCTTTAGTCACCAATCTCATGAAACAATGACAATAGTATATAGCAGACACTAGTTAAGCATTAGCATGATAGTGAATTTGAAGGTTTTCAGACAACAAACAAAAAGGAAAATTTTTAAATTAATAGAATTTGTGAAGTGTTGAAAATTTACACTCCAGCATCTGTGACTGTGCTGAGCAGAAAAGGTGAACTATATAGCTGCGCGGAAGACGGAGAGAAGGGTTGTGTGTCTTCCCAGTTCTGATTGTGCTGAAGACTGTCCTTAGTGCTATACCTATCCAAGGTGTTTGTCGACATGGTTAGTAGCCATGATTCTCTTGAAGCAATGTGATGATAGAGTCCTAACATGGAACAACACACTGCAAGACTACATAGTAATAAGAATCTAGCCAAGCCTTCTGGATAACTTTTATAAATCGCCAATTACCTGCCTGTCATAATGAACTGTTAAGAAGACTCAAATCATGTTGTATCAGTCAAGTAGATTCGTATGTTAGCCATTGTATAATTTCACTAATGTGTCATAGTCTGACACGATATACTTATCTATTTTGTTAAACTGAAAGAAAGTCATTGATTAAATCTTATGTTTTCAACTTAGTGCAATTTGTACTTCTGCAGCAGATAACCTCGTTTCTACATGTAATACTATGTTTAACTCTTATGGCTTTTTAAAGAACAAAAATTTCAAAAACAACATAAAGAATGGTGATAAATGAAGATACTATAACAGAAGTCTTTCGTTGCGATGAAAGTGTCCTAATCACCAATCAAACTAACAGATAGCAAAATTTGTAATATGGTTCTAAATTCAGAAAATATTACTATCAATAGTGAAGAAAGCAATAGATAACAAAAAAACTTCAAGTGATGATTTAGTAGGAATTTTCGACATAGCAATTAAACGACCTGAAGAATAGAACTTTTAATTGAACAAGAAATTATATCTATCTACAGAATAAAAGAAAAAATATTAGCACCAAAAATGAAGCAACTTGCACAGGAAAAAATGTTTAATAAAGAAAACTTATAAATATTCAGTTTTTTCTTTTCTTTTCTTTTTCTTTTTTTGGCAAATTTTGATTCCCTTAACCTTATAAATACTTCATTATTTCATAAACCACTATTTCATATTTTAAATTTTATAATTCTGCAGGTCATTTTACTAGATTTAACCTGACAATCTAATATTTCGGAAAATCCCAAATCCGAAATCTCTGAAGTCCCTATGAGTCCAGATTTTGGACTTTGTTATATATATACATATACTGCTGGAGGCCCTTAAAGATAAAATTTTTAGTTCCCCCCCCCACAAATAAACACTGTTACTCAGCTCCAGCCACAGATTCTTTCATAATCCATTCAAACCTCTCTCAGTCAACTCATTCCAAGAAAGACTGATGCTGTCTACAGTATCCATGATATCATAGTTTTCCAAAAATCACAATTGGATTGTTTTTCTTCTCCTATCAGTTATAAAAACTGATAAGAGATAAACTGATAGGAGATATTGATAAGCAATCAGATGCTGGAATGCCTACATTAGATAAAAAGCTTTAAAACATGAAATGACAATCCTATTCATCGGTTGAATTAAGGAAGGAATGTTCGGCAGTAAGAAAACCACTTCTACTGGAATGCATGTTGTTGAGTAGTATGGCTCGGACCATAATTAATCAAAAGTAAAACTTTTGGTTCTAGTTTTTTTAATTCACAGTAGCGTTGATCAGATTGGAAAAAATCTTCTGTAAATCAATTCTCAAATATTTTTGTAATGGTTCTAGACTTTTTATTAGATTCCTAAGTTTCTGGTGATTATGTGATCTTGAAATTCCTTCAATGCTCTTGAGGATTAGAAATGATAAAAAGAAATGATTATAATATAAAGTCTCCTTTAGCATTACCACCCAGTAGAAGTAGAACTGATACCTCGTGTGATTTTAGAACTTTCTAATACTATCACACAATACTGAAATAGCATTAAGCAGGGTCTTATCTGTACTTACAAGTTTAAGAAATGTTCAATTTAAATTGTGTTTATCAAGACTTTAAATAAATGTCAAAATAACATAAAAGATTTCCAAAATGATTTCTTACCAAAAATTGAAATGACAAATTGAACAGTAGCAAGAGCAAAAGCTTTCTCTTTTTCATCTACAGATCTGAAATTAATGCACATAATTAGTATATACATTAGAGAATTATAAGTAATGCATTTGAAAAGATAAAAATAGTGCATTCTAATTTAAATATTAAAAAAAATTGGGGGTACACAATATTAAATATCTTAATACGAGACTCATTTAATGCATTCACGTATTTTACCAATAATATGAACAAATAAATGGACATTATATTATAGAATTATCTTTAAAATTTCACAAATATTTTAAAATAAAGTGCTATTGGATTTAAAGAATAAAATGTTCTCAAAACATGCAATTCTAAGCTAGGCCAACAGAGTAAAAATATGTGGTACTGCTTAAAATTTTGTGGAATAGCTTGAGATAAAATTCCTTTTTCTATTAATAATGTGGAACTTAATTGCATCTAGTTTAAAATATTCTACATTACTGGTTTTGAAATTAAACTATAAGAAACCTATGTAGGAAGTATAAACATATGGAAAGCAAGAACAATATTTAACTAAGAAAATATTAGTAATTGTGGGGGGGGGGAAATGATAGTAAATCATTTGTAACAAATATTACTCCTATGGGGCTTCAAAATAAAACTGAGGAATTAAGAATTACACTAACCTAAAAAAATTGCTCAGTTAATGTTGTTATTTATTATAACATACCATCATGCAATGTAGTGGTTTCTAAATGACATATTTAAGTTTTGGTGGGCAGACTTTTGCTTAAAGACAAAGGGTGCAGAACTGTAACGGGTCTAATCAAAGATGACCTGTAACAATGAGCAATATAGCTCACTAACATGTGTACAGAACAGCTGTGAGTTAATAAAACTGAATGAGGTATGAAAAGATAAAATATTTTCTGGTCGGGGGGAAAGGAGATTAAATTACAATTTTGCTTTTAAGATGGGCACTTTTATTGATCAATGTTCAAAACAAACATTTTATGTTTTGAGAAGATTGACGTGTGCTTTTATTTTATATCACTTTCTTTTTAAAGGAAATATTCTGATTTCATTTTTAATTACATGAAATTTCATGTGAATGGCATATTTTAATTCAGCAGATCTTTTCGAACACAAAAAATTACAGTAAAAAATTAATAACATTTTATGATTTTATGTGACACAAATGAGATGGATTCCAGCATAGAGTGAAAATATTCTAACTTTGTTAACATATAATTGTAATTATGCCAGTAAGTTATAAAGTAATATAATTAATAAATGCCAATGTAAGTATGAAATGGTCACATAATACTTTCATGTATCACAAAAGGTAATACATATTACAATAAATGATTATTCAGAATATATCTTTTAATACAAATGCTATATTTAAAAGTTATTATTTATCAGGTTTTTCATTTAATATACTAAAAAAAATATAGATTTGCATCATAAAAAAAAAAAAAAAAAAACTGCAGATTTAATAGTGCACAATACATATATTGATGCCAAGGGAAAACACACAGGTAATGAAGAAAGAATTGATACTTCCCACAGGTATTATTTAAATTGATTTTTTTCCCCACAGGTTGTCAATTTCACTAATTAGAAATTAACAGTTATTACCCATCAATTTATGCTTCCACTACCTTAACACATTAGCTCCATTTATAAATATATATTGAAGATGTTCCCCTTTGTTACTCACAACTATATGATTTCACAGCAAAAACCCAAATAGGAAGACAGAAAACGACTTTTCAGAGATGTTATGCATTTCAGCTTGTGGTAATCCCTTAGGAATTCTTGAGGTAATTGTCAGTATTTGTTTCATTATTGCTCTCTCATGTATATTTATCATGATTTAACTTCTTGGAAGAGTTTTTTTTTTTTTTTTTTTTTTTTTTTTTAAACTTCTAAGAATCTCTGAATTAACAAGCCAATGAATATTCCCTCTTTCTGTTTTTCATCACTAAGCTTTAAATAATGATATCTGACGTAAGCAGAGTATTCTTGCCTATAGCATTCACAAAATCTTTGATTAGGTTTTGGCAGACCATACAGAGATAAGAAACTTATGTGTGCATAGGTCGCAGTATTCAAGTTGTTGTGAGATGTAAGGCAACAGGCTTTAACATTGCAGCAGCAATAATTCGTTCAGCTAATGGCTCCACTTGACATTAGAAGAATCATTACTTCACGGCCAGCATCAAGAGATTTCAGCAATCAGCACTGTGTCTGCCACCAAAGCTTCTCAGTTTCAGGCAGGCTGATGGAGCAATGATCCCATTTCTCCTCTGATATTGTTTCAACTGTAACAAATCACAGGATGTAAAACACAACTAAAAAATTAAGACAGCATAACTATTTCAGACTAGGCAAGAACTCAGAATGCTCTTAAACACTTGACTAGAGAGACTCTTGCCATAGCAAGATCATCATATAATGTGGAAAATAATCTTTTCTATGTCTTCAAGGTTGTTTGAATTGTATTATAACCTATCATAGATTTATATTAAATGCATTTTGTTCTTTCTGCTCCCATGTCATGAACTTAAAGTTCTGTTTCTGAAGCAAAGAGTTCTCTCGCATCACCATGTTTTGTCTCACTGTTTGTGTAATTCCTTTTTTGTGTTCTGTGTCATCAGTACCATGCCAGGAAAGTGTTTCCAACCATTCAATTGCTATATGATTTCCTATCGTCTAGATGTACTCTATCTCTCCTGAAAGTCAGTCATAGCTGTACTGATACACTCTGTATATATACAAGAATTTGAAAAAAGAAGTTTTAATGTTAGTGAAAAAAAATAAAATTATATTTTAACACATTTTTTGACCCTCTGAATAAAATAACATTAGAAATACTACCTATGAATTCAGCTGAAAGATTATCAAATTATATAGCTCTAGATGACTTAGTTATGAATTTCTGGACGTTAGTAACAAGAAAATCTTTATTGCTTTGACAGTATATTTGGATTCTAGGCGAAGATTTATGTTCATTGAATACAGATGTAGAATTAGCAACTTTTAAAGGAAGCTGGGGGTAATTCAATTTTAATACATTCTTTTGATCTTCAGAAAAAATAACATTTGAAATATTAACTATAAATTCAGTTGAAAGATCATCAATTTAACCCTCTGAATGACACAGGTTTTGGGATTTGTCATGAAGACCTGTATTTATGCAGCACTTATTAGCTAAATTTATGTAATTACTTATTTTGGCCTCTATTTTCGTAACCAAGAATCTCATGACCGGATAAAGCCGGTCATGCCACTCAGAGGGTTAAATAGCTCTAGATGACTAAGCAATGAATTTTTAAATTTTAGAAATACAAATATTTTTATTAATTAGAGAGGATACTTGGATTCTAGACCAAGATTAATGTGCTGATATAAAAATGTTCAATGGATGTAGATGTACAATTATCAACTTTTAAAGGAAGATGGTATAATTCATAGCCAGATTTGAAAAACATTTGCACATATTCCAGATGACGACATCAATAATAATGGAACAGAAAAGTGACAATATGGATTTTTGCATAAATTTGAAAACTCCAGAAGATTTAAGATTATACTTAATATGTATAAATTTGGTAATGAATTTTTGTCACTTGCATTTAAATAAAAATTGAAGACTTAAAAAATTTCATATGTTTAAAACATAAGAATTTAGTTTCAAATGCCATATTAAATGGAGCAAATGAGAGGAAAGACATGAGCTAGATTTCTGGGAAGTAGCAGATTCGCCTAATAACCTAGCATTACACACTAAATTGGACATAAAAAGATAACATGGAATTCAGAAATCACTGCATATTTTAAATGCAAAATAAGTGAGAAAATCAGCTCGATGAATTGGAAAGAGGAGGGGTGATTTGTTGTTTCTGCTGCAGAAAATCCATTTGCAGCAATTTATCACGTTAAAGCTGATATGTCCAACTGTGAATGATATTACTTCAAAGTGGAAAGCTGAGGGAATTATATCTGTTCAATCAAGTTTAAATACACCATGGAGAATGACAGACAACAGCCATTTTGTAGATGTAAGTGTAACTAAGTAAGAGCAGTGGAATGAAACTGCATGAGATTAGAATTTTTATAAAATATTTATGAAAAATTCCACAATACATTTTTATATCAGCACAGCGACCATTCATTGAGAGCTGTAAATTTAGATAAGCATTGGTCAGCACAGTGTAAAACAAGATGCAATCAAAACTTCAAGAAAAGGTAGCCTAATATGTAGAACCATGAATTCCAGAACATTATCTAGAAGTCTGCGTTTAAGTTTGAAGAATACCATTAAGTCAAGTTGGGTGGACAAAGCATTATAATACAATTTTATTTCTAGCAGTTCGGTCATAGTCCTCAGGTTCCTGGCAGAGAAATATGAACACAGAGGTCAATCTATTTCATTTAAGAGAGTTCATTACTATCTATACTGTGACAGCACTATGACACGGGGCTATCCTGTTTTAGTACAATGTACAAAGCATATGCTTATTAATAGATGACTTTGTAATATGCATGTTAAGGAAATGGACTCGCTGGTTTAGAGCCATGATCTTAAGCCTACAGAACAACTGGTTTGTTGTTTACAAGGCAGATCTCATCACTCAAAATCACTGATAAATCACTCAAAATAACTGCTCTTCTGAAAGAATGAAGGGGTCTTTCAGTGGCAAGTGCCAAAATTTAGAAGGCAGCAATGGTAAATGTCAAACAGCCAAAGCAGGTCCAATTCCATAATGAATTAAATCATATAGGTATTATATGTACCATAACTATTCCATGAATGTTTGGATACTTTTGAACACATAATGTATCATAATCCACAGCTTCACTATTCATGGTAACACTTGGAATTTATTTGTGTGTGGATATTGTATGTAGCCAATACTACAAATAATTGTAATGTTGCACAATTTGAGTTTACAAAATGATGCCACTATATCTGCTCTACATCAATTCTTAATAAAAAATAAAAATTGTAGAAAGCTCGCCTAAAAGTTACCAAGAGCTGCTGCTCCAAAAGGTTAAAGACGTTTTCAAAAGATACACAATTAACAAAAATTAAATAAATGAAGATAAAAAGTGAACAGCAAAAGAATATTAAATGAAATTATGTCAGATGACTTACAAAAAATTACGAGAACTGAGTAACTTAAGAAGAATAAAGACAAGCCATAATATTATCTATGACTTCAGCAGAAATCTGTTCAGAATGAAAAAAAAAAAGTCATCTAAAAATTTAGTGGGTATTCTAGACATAACAATTACAGGACTTGAACAGTGGAACTTGTAACTGAAAATGAAATTGTCTATCTTCAAAATTAAAGAATCTGCATGAAAAATGAAGCAACTTAAACAACTTGTATCAAAAACAATGTTTGTAAAATTAAATAAAGAAACAAATAAATATTAAGGCTTTTTTTTTTTTTTTTTTTTTTGTGTGTGTGTGTGTGCAAATTTTGATTTTCTTAAAGATATAGATGCTTTATTATTTCATAAACAACTATTTCATATTTCTACATATTCACCTTACTAGATATAAAATAATAATTTCAAAATCTGGAATCGCTGAAGTCCTAATGAATCGGAGATTAAGTTATTGATGAAATATTGATATCAGATTACACAGCAGCTTAATATTTCTGGCTAGTAAAGTTCAAGATATTTATACCTTAGAAAAATTAACATATTGCCAACTTTGCCTGTTGAAGAGAACACTTTGCTCAAGCTTAATAGCACCACATATGGCAGAAACATAATGCATTCTTTCGTACAAAACGCATATGATAATCCATAAGTTTCTCCAGATAAGTTACCACTCTGATGTAGACATGAACAGTTGTTAAAAATCTGCAAATATTAATACATATACAGATATAAATATAAATACATAATGCCAAAAATATAAATTTAAAACTTGATTACTCTTAACAAACTACATAAATATATTTTCAATCATATATAGAACTTACATATACTTACAGAAATTTATTAGTTGAGCACTGACCAAATAAAAATAATACATTAAAGACAATCTGAAAATTTAAACTGACACTACAATTAAATTTAACATAAAATATAAGAAGATTAGGATATGTGCTTTATCGGTTTAACATTAAATAGTACTAAGCATTAATTTCAATTATTTAATTCATAAAAATCTGCAGTAATTTTTTATACAATCCTTAGCAATCTGAAGAAATAAAAGTCTAAAGTAGAAGTAGAAAACTTTAATATAAAACTGGTTCATTTTTATATTAAAAAAAACTCTTTATAAACATGAAAACTGTACAATAATATCCCAGTTTTTTTTTTTTATTTCACACAAAATCAAAATTTTTTACTTTTTGTAAAAGAATATAAGATATAGGCAATAGACTTTTTTTAGCTAATTTAATTAAAGCTAAATAAATGAATTATTATAGATGTCTTTCTGACAAAAGGAAAGTTGTTCCAATTGAGGATTTTCTGACAGAAACTGTACATAAACTATCAACATACCAACTTCCATCATCTTGAATTAAATCTAGAACACACATAGCATTCCATGATTTTAAAATCAAATACTATATAGATAATGTCATCGAAATTTTCGGGTCTTTTTTTATCAATGCATTTTTTAATCAAATAAATCTGAACTTTTTTTAATTATAATTTTAAGCATTGATAAATAATTTTCAGAATTTTTACACAAAATGCTTACAAATGAATTACAAAATGATTTATTAGTGAAGAATTCAGTACTTACAGTTTTATAATACTGAATAAAATCTATGACTTTAAATATATATATATATATGGAAAAGATGAAAGCATATCATTAATAACAACTTATGGAGGAAAAATGGCCAAAACTTAACATTTTTACTCACCATATTATTTTTTGATTTAAATTTGTAGCTATTGCAACCAGCAGCGCATGGAGAATAATAATTTGTACCATTAATATCACAGATTGGATCAAATGTATTTTCATTGCATGAACAATGTTTGTTACATTCCTGGCTTATGAGATTTGTCCTAAAATAATAACATTAAAATATACTTAATTCCAAAAATAGTTGTAAAAATTAAGTATTTTAAATCAGCCTTCTTGTGTTAAAAACAAGATATAATAAGCAAAATTCCTCTTCATCATTAATTTATGGCAGTACAAAATTAAAATTCAATCACTGTAAGGTTTAGCAAATAATAAACAATAGTAGGAAGAAACATCTAATGAAATTTCAGGAACTAAAACAAAACTGAAGCTCAAGTTTATTATGATCCATAGTCTGAACAAAGGTCATACAAGCGTGGCACTTAGCTCTGGTGACTGACAAGGAAGAATGCTAAATTATTAAGAGTTAGAGATCCATTTAAAAAAAAAAACTTTGATTATAAACTTTCACCTTTGGATCACATAGACAATGCATTTTAATTCACACTTAAAAATTATCATATATTAAAAGTTTACAGCAAACTCCAGTAAAAAGACAGCTCTAAAGAGGTAGATAAAGACAAACTAAATTCATTATTTAAAAAGTATTACTTACTCAAAAACAGTTTTGTTGGATATGCTAGACTGGCAACCCATGAACAAAGCACAAAACAGAACTACCCCAGCAAAAGTTTCCACAAATAGCATGTATCCTGTCAGAAAACGTGGCTTAGGCTTAAATTTTCTGATACAGATTCCTCCAAGAAATATTCCAATGACAATACCAAACATTATAATAATGCCTGAATAAAAGAAAATGAAAACTGGTAATAAAGTTAATAACTTACTTAAAATGGGAACTAATTTAAGGATGAATCCACATTCATTCGCAAGACAAATTTAAGTTTTCAGAAGACAATTTAAGATATAGTTTAAGACAATTTAAGATAAATTTCATAATGACAACACAGTACCAATTTTATCAAAAGTCAAACAATTTTATTAAACATGTAATATACACAACAAAAAACAAATATGAAAATATCAAATATAAAAAGCTAAAGAGAGAATAAGACTATTAAGCAAGCACTAAATTTACATTACAGAGAACAGATAAGACTATTTGCATCATACAATCTGAGCAATCAGAAGATAAAGCTACATTATTTATCATCAATATAATTTACTCACATTAATTGAGTTCACCTTTAAGCATTTAATAATAAAAAATATAAATCAAAATCATAATGCTTGTGCTTGCTTACCATCCAAAAAAAAATTCATTTTTAAACTTTAATTTTATTAATTGAGATCATATGCCTCATTCAATTCAATTAAATTGTTGAAGGCTAAAGATTATTTCAAGCACAATATAATAAATGTTTGCTTTAAATATCTTCTACAATACTGAAAATGTTGCAAGCAACATTATTCATAAATACTATGAAAAAAGAAATAAACATATAAAGAGATTTATCTTCTCTTGTATCATTTTCCTTTTCGTTTGTTTATTCATTCATGTTTTCAGTATTAATTCTTTCACAACTGTTGTGCACATGTTGATTAATGAATGAATTTTTCAAAAGAACGATTCAGAAATTTTTTATTTACATTACAGCACCTTCCAAGCATAAGATAGGTGATGTTACAAGTGCTTTTACACTTAAAAGAAGCTGATTTGCCGATCCATTAGAGAAAAAGGCAAAGAAATTTGGAGCGTATGTTTTGAATTATTATATTAACAATACAGTATATGAAGTGATATAGTGTACAGCACACTTTATGATTATTTTATTAATATTTCTGTTTTCTTAATCTGCCAAATTTACGAATTAAACTTTATCAAATTTATCAATGTGACATGGATACACAGCATTCGCTATTATTAGCGATGTGAGCTGGAACAAATAACCCAGATAAGGGAATATTGTTAATTTTTCGGTTAGAGTAGACTGAAGGGTACTCCTTGTATTACCACAAAGTTGCTGTTTCATTTATTGCCAAGTTGTCGTTTTATTTATGGTAATCTGAGTAGTTGAATGGTATGGAAACCCTATTATGACGTAAATGGTTGCATAATTGCTGTAAATTTTGAATTATGGGATGTTTGGTGGTTAGGAAGTACATTGCTTGTTTTGTTGTTTAGATGGTAGAATGACTGAATGTAGTAAGATTAATTTGAAGTTTCTGTATGATTTTGAACGAAAGGGGAAAAGAGCATTACTTGACTGGTGTGTAAATGAAGGTTTACTTAGTAGCTATTTTCCAGACAGTCCGAAACTACAGAGGATATTTTTTACTCTTATTTTTGTGAATTTATGTGGCAATGCTGATACACGGATTCAAGTTCAGATAATTTTCGGAAGATTTTGAATGCTGTTAAGGAATTTTGTGTGCCACAGACTGAAGATGTAGAAATTCCTAAATAAGGTAAGTGGATATTTGCTTTGCGTAGTGCTTACATGCATAAAAGGTTTTCCGGTACTCTTCCATTTCACCGGCACAAATCACGCCAAGCAGACTTTATTAGCAACAATATACCGTATACAAGTATACACATAAAAAATATTAACAAATGTTAGTTGTAAGAATTTTTTATTTTGAAGGCATAAACATTTTAATATTGTTTAAAATTTTGTAAAAAGCCAATAAAAAAAAGACCATAAATTTGTAAAAAGATTTTAATTTAAGAATTTACTATGCTTTCATGATTCAAAACCCTGATTCGCTACCATGAATGGCCCTAGGGCATAAAATTGAACTATCTGGGTAAAAATTCTATGTAATTGTATGGCAGTATTGAAAGAAACAATCAATCTGATAAGAAATGGTTGCGACTTGTTTTGAAGATGAGGGGTAAAAGGTTACCTACCATGACATTCCGTTTGGCATCAGTTGTACCATTATTGGCGACTTTATTGCCTGCGCCGGCGAAACGGAAAAGTACTGGTTTTTCCTTTTTTTTATGTTATTCATTGTTTGGTTTAAAATGCAGTTTATCGAGATTATGTATTTTTTGTTTGCCTCTACTGTAGAATTGGGTGCTCCTTTGACCTTTTTAAGCGAAAATATATTGATGTGTACACGGACAAAGTCAAGGCAGTGCGCAATGCCTAGTTTGTGCAATTCTATGATATTTTTTTAAAGTGAAAATAGGACAATGTGTACATGGATACCAAGTTTGTGCAATTCTTTGACTTGTTATTTTGTTTTTGTGTAGCGGAGATTTTTGGAGCTAAAATCGCCATTACACAAAGTTTTATTTTGTCGCTACACCACATTTTATTGATTTTTTCCCCCTCTGTTATGCCTTCCCAATTTTTCCATTGACTACATATCTAAGCTATGGAATACGAATTTGTTTTCATATTTCATCTTCTTTCAAGACTTGTATGATATGCAAGTAGAGACCTACATAACATACAAAATATAGAGGCACATTTTATTCAGAAATAAAAAAAAAAAAAAAATGATTAGGGTTAGAAATGTATTATTAGAGAATACAAAATTTCTGCACAAGCAATAATTAATATAAACATTTAGAAACATTAAATGATATTTATTTTATACATACATACCGGAGAAAAAACTAGCAGCTGACGCAGTCTTCCGAAACTGGCTCTCCATATATTTTGGCATGAAAAGAAAATATCCAAATATTCCATTAATTTGAAACACAAGGCTTAATGTATGAAACACTAAAATTGGATTTTTGACCATATTCTTCAAAGAAAGCAGCAAATCTGAAGATATAAAAATGTCACCAATTACAAAATAAAAGAATCATACTTATTTAATGTGTATAAGACAGAAATGTTAATATCTTTTCATGTTTGCATATTTTATTTATTATAAATTTATTTAAATGAATCTTACCACTCACAGATTTCTTTGAAGAAACTGTTTCAGCATCAGAAGCTGCTTTTCTTCTCAGTTGCTTAGGAAAAAATGCAATAGGAAATGACACAAGGAAAAGAGAAACTGCAAGGAAAAGAAATCCAGTCCACCATGCACCTATCCACCGAGAATCACGATTATCAAAGCCAGGATCAACTGCAATTATAAATAAAGATATTTACACCAACTATATTAAGATATACCTAAGATAAATTGCAAAGTAAGTTTATAATTCCCCTTTCCATTGAATTCAGTTTTGGTAAACAGAAGACTGTTATATTGGGTTGAAACATAAGTAACGACTATTTTTTTAATTAAAAATTTTTTATTTTAACAAAACAAAAAACAATAAATTAGCCAATAATATCCAAGCTTTTGAACTTTCCCCATAGATACAAGATATCGAATTGTAGTCATTTGGCTACAACCCATTTGTTTGGCTAATTCTCAAATCGTTTGACGCATGTCTTCGTGCAGAGTTGATTTGAACATTCTTCATCAAACTCATTTGGTCGTCTGGAATGAGCAGTGTCTTCGAGGTCAAAATTTCTGTTTTTGAATTTGGCAAATGAATTTCTTGCAGTTCGTTCAGGCATTGCACCTTCTCCATACACTTCACAAATCTCTTGGGCAGCTTCTGCAGCATTTGTGCCTCAATTAAACGCAAAAAGAAGAAGGTGTTGAAAATGCTTATTTTTGTCGACCTGACACTCCATTTTAATTATCTAAAAAATAACAAAATTTAGATCAGACAAAAAAATCAAATATGCCATCTTATAGAGGGAAAGATTCTCTTTCCAATAACACAAAATAATTATGTCAATACATTTTATTTTTACCATGTAATTTTAAACACAACATTAACAGCCATTACTTATGTTTCAACCCAATAGATTTCTCAGTGCTGCTCCTTAATTATTTTCACATTTAAAATAAAGAGGTTTTATAGTTAATGAAAGATTATTCTAATTATTGATTAGATGGATCATTTATATTACAAATATACAAAAATATTTCGGAGTAAGAAAACATCAAACCCAATTCTGCATACTGGTAAAAAACAGTGTTCACGAACAATTAAGCTTTCTATTCTCTATCTCAAATCAGAATCAGTTCATTGTATTCCTTAAAAGGCGGTTTGTTGATATATGGCTGCCAATTCTTTTAACTTGGGCAAATTTAATGACACTTTATTATATAAAGAAAATGTAGTGAAGTGCTGAAAAAGTGTGCTGCTACACAGAATATATCTTCTGAATTTGGTGGAACAAAAAAAAAAAAAAAAAAAAAAAAAAAAAAAAAAAAAGTGTCATAAGGCCCTTTGCATACAGTTGATGACTGAAATTTGTCATGCACTTGTTTTGCCCAAGTTATGGATAATGAATCTTAATCATCATTCAAACTAGGACAAAATTAAACATGCTTTTTCTTGTTCATGGCAAAAGTGATTGGTATCATTTATAACAGCAAGTTTCTTCCAGTACTTCAGTGACTGTTGTTTGTGAAAAGACAACAGAAGAATTTTTTCAAATAAATCCATACACTATAAGGTGTTTCTCCCACCTTTTTGGTGTGGTGGTCCGCATGCTGGGCGCGTATTCTAGAGGTCCACGGTTCACTTTCCGGAGAATGCATTGCTCATTTTTCAAGTCTCCTGTTTTTCAAAAAATACGTAATGTCTCTACAGTGGTGCCCGAACTAAAAAGGGTGTTGGATGATGATTCTCTACACTCAGGATTTAGCGATTGGGTTCCCTAAAACCCCAGTCGCCCTTTAAAAGGGAGAGTATATAAGGTGTCTCTCCCGCCTTCTTGGTGTGGTGGTCTGCACACTGGGCACATGTTCTAGAGGTCCGTGGTTCGATTCCCGGCGAAGGCATGGCTCATTTTTCAAGTCTCTCTCTTTTCAAAAAATACCTAATGTCTCTACAACCCTAAGGGTTAATAATAAATACTTGCCAAATATTATGTTTGCTTGATATATAATTTCAACTTTATCTTATCAATGAAAAACTTTGATATCACATTTCTTATAATCTTATACAAATCATATTCATAAACTTAGCTTATTTTATTGTACTACACAGAATGAAAGACTTTTTCACAAGTACAATAAAGCCTCCATATAATAGACCATTTGTATGACTGCAAATTTTGGAGTTCCTCTTATTCAGAGAAACAGAGTATTTTAAATTGAAAAAAAGTTTTTATAATTGTTATTTTAACTAATTTTCAGAGCTACTACCTCTTGTAAAAACAATAGTATGTTACAAATAATTAATACAAACTGACATACACATGACTGACATACAGATGTAAAATATGATAGGGAATACATGCAACTTATTTACAATAAATTTAGGAATATATACAATATACATATTTTTAAATTTCACGTTGGAAGGATGAGAAGCAGTATTATCTATATATGCAGAAGAGCAAAACTCTTCTTCTTTGCTTAACTCTTTGAAATCCAGACCCTTCGCTAACTTGTGTCCTCAAAATACCGAAACGACCGAAATAGTTTTCCAGTTTCACTGCAATTTCCTCCCCTCCCCATCCATTAATGGAGAAAATAGGTGTGAAGATTTCCAATGACATCCTTTGTACTTTCTAACAAAGATTCCATTAGCCTTTGACCCCGTTCCTTATAAAACTACTCTGAACGTCAGACCAACAAGCCTTTCTTATGATCACGACTGAGATTTTGTTAATTTCCGTAATTTTTATAGGAAGGAATAAATTGTTTAAAAATAAATATAATCCTTAAATTTTTAAACTGCTTTTTTACTGCTGTTTAAAGATTAAAAGCACACTGTACCACAAAAGAAAAACAACTAAATGTCACGATCGAAGAAAAGATGAGAAATTTCTTAGGACAAGCTGTCTGCAATAAACTGATACAATGCATTTGGGGAAACTGCACCTGCCACTGCACATCTTAGGGGGAGGGAAGAAAACAAGATTACAATCTCGGCCGTTTTCAGGCGGTTCTGGTTGTTTCAATGTAGGGCCGTGTGGGGCGGATTGGATGTGAAGGAGTTAAACATGTTTGCATTTAAAGATGTAAGCCAACAAGACATTACATCACAAGTCGTCCGGCATTTTTTATTTCCTTTCCATACAGAGTGTTTAAGATCAATATAGTTTAAAAATAAAAAATCCCTTGCTTTTACAATTACAAGTAGCTTTCCAAATTCTAGTTTATTGCAAGATAATGTTGGTACAACTCTGATATACACCCTAATTTCACCAAATGTGATATGTGTTCTGCACTGGTTTTTGGCGCGATTGCGTGTTGTATGGCAACCCTGTTGCCGTTGAAAAATTTTTCCCTGGAGCTTGTTAGTTCACGTCTGTGTCTGAGAAGATAGGTGGGAAAGATAAAATGGTGGAAGTTGTTGAATTGAAGTTCGGCAAAAGGAAATATCATTCTGGCCATCCTGTTGAGGAGCCGTGGGTGTTTGAAGGAATGGAAAGAAGGTCTGCGAGATTAATTTTAGTGGCTGTGCATGATAGAAGTAGGGATTTGTGATTATTTGTGATTTTTATTTATTTGTGAACCATAGTATGAATTTTCTGGATAGTGTGTCTGGCTGTCATATAAATATGATATTGATTACATGGCGGCATGTTAAAGGCAGTATGAAATTGGTATTTCTGCTGTTCGAAAATGCATTAATTCATGGTAAGTGCATTTTATTTTATTCTTGTTCTTATTTTGTAGAATGTTATGTTCATTGTTTTGTTAGTATGAATTTCTGTCGTTATTGTTGTTTTTTTGAATTGTTTGAAATTAATTTAGTTATTTTAGTTCATTTTGTTGATTAGTGCACAGTGTCTAGATTGTGCAATTCGTAGATGTTTTTTAAAGTTAAAACAGAACGCTGTGTAGATGGTATTCTTTGAAATTTATTGTTGTTGTGTTAATTTATTAAAGCGAGGTGTGAGTAGTTCGTAGATTCGTTCGTTGCCTAAATTGTGCAATTCGTAGATTTTTTTTAAAGTCTAAACAGGATACTGTGTACGTGGTATTCTTTGAAATTTAATGCTGTTATGTTAATTTATTAAAACGAGTTGTGCATAGTTCGTAGATTCCTTAGCTGCCTATATTTTGCAATTCGTAGATTTTTTTAAAGTTAAAACATATCGCTGGGTATATGGATTCTTGTCAAATATTTTTGGTTAGAAACTTTACGTTTTTGCTATCTAATTTTTTTGTTTTTGTTTCGGATTTTTAGCTTGCATTTTTGGAGACATTTTAGGCTTAAAGTTTGAAATCTAGACAAAAAATTTAGATAGTAATATGGCAGCGTGGAGTTTCTCGCCAAAAATGTTTGACGAGTAATTTGCCGACTTGAGGGCGCATAACAGAGTAGATCCATAATGTATAGTTAGCTGTTTGTTTTGTGTTTTTCCTCCAAAACATTTTTTTTATTTTTAAACAGATCTTTTACTTGAAAGAACTCAATAAAATAATCTAATTTAAGTAAATTAAATAATTCTTTTTCTTCACACATTGAAAGAGGCATACATAGTTTTAAAAAGGTTATGGTGCAGAAAAAAAAAAAAAAAAAAAAAAAAAAATTCTAGTTATCGATTTGAGGCCTTAAATTTTTCAAAACTAAGATTCAGCCTTTAGATCATTTTCTTGCAAAACAGGACCAGCAACAGAAATATTTTTGGAATGCATGTAAGAAAAAGCAGCAAAATACAGAAGAGCCTGGAAATCTGTGTTTCTTAATTTTGAGCTCATCAAAGTGTTATTAGAATTTATCTTTTACAGTTTGAACATTTCTAGTTTATTTATTAGGGGCAGAGCAGACAAATGATGACCTATCACATTACAGATATGATTGATTAGTGAAAGATCAGGGTACATTGTAGGCCAAAGAAGCAACAGAATATGCTGTAAAGCTTGTCAGCTAACTAATGCAGTGTGCGATTTCCATTGCCTTGCTGGAAAACACCATTTCGCAGCCACTGAAGGTAAGGTAGAACAACTAGCTACACCATATTATTAAGGTACCTTCACGCTGTCAATGGGTCTCTGATGCATAACAGTGATGACCTGTTATCATGGTTGATGGCACTCCATACCATTATGCCATGCTGAAAAGCGGTATGGCATTCAGCAATACTAGTCAGATTGGCTCTAGCTCCCCAAAGTCCTCTTAATTGGGAACTATAAACCAGACAAACAAAACTTAAACTCATTACTGAATAACACACTGTGCCATTCAGATGTCAAAGTGGATTGCTGATGATGCCATGGCAGTCTTTCACATCATTGGTTTGGCATTAATGGGAGTCTTTGAAAAAGGCAGCTTTTGTGCAAGTCGCTTTTAACCAAACATCAGCAAACTGTTCTCCCAGATACTGGAGCACCCAAAACTAGTTGCAGTTTCTGCAAAATGTCCACAATAGTCAGTTGTAGAGCTACCGTCGCTTATCTTCATATGCATCAATCTATGCATTCTGTAGTATGTCTAGATGGACCTTATCTTTCACAACTATTTAAATTTCCTTCAATGAGCCACCTAGACCGAATACTATGCACAGTGGATACATCTACATGCATTTCAGCAACAATACAACATTGATAATATAACAATACAGCAACAAGACCAACCAGCCATACATAAACCTACAATTTGACCCTTCATAAAATCGTCTGTTTGCTGAAACTGCTTACGATATTGCTGTCAAGGCATCTCTTCATTCATAAGTGTCTTCTAGAATGCTGAACTTCTCGAAATTCCGGGTTAACAACTGTTGGTTTGTCAGCCATTTTCTTCCCTTTTATCTTGTGCTATAATGATGCAACAAACTTGCATCTTACATCATCTGCATAAATTGTTCCATAACATATCTTCTGACATTTGCATATTTATACAGTCAAAGCTTCATGATGTTATACAGTCGAAGCTTCTTGAAGTTGCATTTTCGGTTAAAGTAGATTTAAGATTTGGATTATCACTAAGTTGTTGTTTCATTTATGGTAACCTGAATAGTTGAAAGCTACGGAAACCCTATTATGATGTAATTGGTTGCATGATTGTGGTCAACTTGAATCATGGGAAAAGATTTGGAAAGTGTGTGTTGCATTCTGGATAAGTACGTTGTTTGTGGTTTACACAGTAAAATGGCCGAATGTGGTAAGATTAATTTAAAGTTTCTGCACGATTTAGAACGAAAGGATAAAAAGCATTGACTGGTGTGTAAATGAAGGTTTACTTAGTAGCCATTGTTAAGTGTCCTGTTTGTAGGAAGGAAATGCATATGGTCGAATGTCAGTGATACTGAAACTATGACGGATATTTTTTACTCTTATTTTTGTGAATTTATGTGGCAATGCCAGTATATAGATTCTAGTTCATATAATTTAAGTAAGTTTTTGGATGCTGTTAAGGAATTTTGTTTGATTGAAGATACATAAATTTGTAAATAAGGTAAGTGGATATTTCTTTTGTGTAGTGCTAAGATGAATTTCTTTTTTTTTTTATGTTATTTCACTGCTTGATATAAAATGTAATTTTTTGATATATATATATTTTGTTGGCTGCTGCTCCTTTGATTTTTTAAGTGAATATAGATCAATGTTAAAAAAGTCAAGGGAGTGCACATTGCCTAGTTTTGTGAAATTCTCTGATTTTTTTTAACTGAAAATAGGTTGATGTGTACATGGTTATCAAGTTTGTGCAATTCTTTGACTCGTTATTTTGGATTTGTGTAGCGGCAATTTTTGGCTCAAAAATTGACACTACACAAAGTAATAACAAGTCAAAGAATTGCGCTAACTCAGTGTCCATGTACCGCCAAAATTCGCCAAGACACATCCGTAAATATATTTTTACCGCATTTTCTATGTTGGGCAGTGCATAAATACTATTATAATTTCAATCTGTGTGGTCAATGAAGTTTTTAAATAGCATAAGAGTTTGGCTCAAGAAGAATTAAATGTCACAGACAAATCTAATTTTATTACTTCTCATGAAGGCAAGTCTACTGAAAGTGAACATAATGAATTAGAATACCATTATATTTTCTAAGAAACTGTCATAGAAACAGAAGAAAATTTCATTATTTCCTACACCCAGAACTTCGTGAGACAAATATAAATAATGAGGGCACGAAGTTAGGATAACATGAATATCTTTCTTTTGTTTGGATTTTAAAATGACCTCCACATGTGTAAAATTAAATTAATAGCGATGTAATTATTTTTTAATTAATGAATAGAGTTTTTAATCAGCCAGAAATCATTGACTATAATTTGCATTAAATAATTAATACAATTTTTCTACTGTAGACTGGTGCTTAAAATTATCTTTACATGCATAAAAATACCGATTTCTCAAAAACTGTTGAATGAATTAATTTTGGATTATAGCACATAAATACAAACTCAAAAATTGAACATGAATGCGCAAAGCACATATAATAAAACAAATAAAGAAATTTTAAAGAAAAATGAATATCACCAAAACAAATTGAGACTTTTAATATTAATAGGAAATGCAAATTTAAACTAAATAGCGTATATCTTATAATGAAAATAAACAATCCTAGTACATCGCATGTGAAACGGAGTACTGCGAGATCCTTGTCAAAGAGATTTATTTTATGTAATGACAGATTGTGTCAAAAATTTTTCTCATATATAAATTTCTTTAAAAATGAATTAAAAAAAGAAGCTTCACAGATTTCAATAAACTATTAAATGAATAGCAGCATATTCTAATTTTTTTATCATTTTGTAAAGAAGTCTGTAGTTAGCCTCTGATGTTGACAATATTTCAGAAGCAAATATTTGAAATTGGAAATTTATATTTATGAAATATTGAGTTTTTTTGGTACTGTTGTGCTATCATGACTAGATTAAAAAATATATGAATGTATGCATGTGTGTGCATATATGTGTATATATATAGAAGCTAATACATTTAAATTACAGTACTGTTAATTTGGTACTATTTGGTTTCGAGGGCCGTACAAAAATTGCAGTGAAAATGTACGCGCAAAAGCGCCAAACCTAACAAACACACCCATTTAACAGCGCGCCAAATCTAGCGTCCGCGCTGATTTCAGATCTCGTAAGTTTATATAGTTCTATATTTCTTAAGACGCCATTGAAATACTATTTTATTTTTAAATCCTTTTTTGATATCCTATGGATTTAACAATTTGGGAATTGCCCATGAAGAAAACTCAGCAATAGAATTTTGGGTAAAGTGCAGAATCACCTACTCCTTGATGCATTTTTAAGAATTGCACATACTTGGTATCCATGTGCGCATCGACCTATTTTCACTTAAAAATAAAATCTTAGAATTGCATAAAAATGGCACTGCACACATCCTTGACTTTATCTATGTACACATCGACCTATTTTCACTTAAAAAGTAAAAGAAAATTGACAAAAATGCAATTCTTTTTACCCTTGTAAAAAGCGGCAAACAAATAAGTGAGCAATTCTGCACTTTACCGAGAATATTTTCAAAGAAAAAACATCATTCATTATAGAAAATTACGTTTGAACAAACAACGAAATGAAATTATGCTTTTAGCGATAAGTCAGTAGTGAAATAGTGATGCAGGCTAGTGAAATAGTGATTCAGTTATGTTTAGCAATTTTTATATAAATTATAATAATGATCTGAAATAGTTTACTCTTATGCTTCCATTCAGTCATGTTTAGCCTTTTTCATATATATTATAATAAATAAAAAAGTATTATCTGAAATTAACCTTCATTTAAATTAAAATATCAATCTTAAATAGTTATTATACTTCCTTTCTTGCCGCAATTATTTGTGGCAGCATTGGCATCAACGATAGTTTGGCGATTTTTTACGGCCCTCGAAACCAAATAGTACCGTTACTTTTTATAGGATATAGTGTTGTATTGCTCTAAAATCTAACAAAAGCATCTCAGTGAATTTACTTAAAATTACAGAAGATTTTTTAATACATTCTTGAAGTACTTACTAAATGGATTTTCGTAATACTGAAGTGTAAAGGAGGAAAGCATAAAGCCCAAAGTTGGTCCAAATATTTTCATAGCGTAAGTTGTTCCTACAAGAAATTATTTTAATATTACATTCAATAGTAATAAAAATAACTAAACTGCAAAGCTAAATATAATTGAATAAACATAACATAAAAACGTAAATTAACAGTAAATACCTATATATAAAGGAGAGTCTTTCTTTTTCACATTATCATCTAAATACACAATGCCAAATGTGTAATATGTCATAGATGCAAAACCATTCAAAAAATTTGCAATAAACAAAATTATTATGGCAAAGTTATTTTGAGATTCTACAGCATAATTACAATTCTCATGTCCCAAATTTTCGTTACATAACTGAATTTTTTTTACAAAAGCATTATGAGATAATGTTACTTCCGAACCAAAGAAAAAATACGGCAGACAACTCACAATACAACTTATAACAGAAAGCATCATACCAAATGCTATCAATAAAGGCTGGTGTACATCTTTAGCATAATAACTTAACACACTGAAAAATATTGGACTGAGATTGTCAGCAATCATGATAATTCCTGTAACCTGGCTGTCAAACGAAAAACGTTTCTCTAAGGTTGATAAAATTCCTATGAAATAAGTAACGTAAGCTCCTTGCAAAACTCCCGTAAGAGAATAAAATAATAGATAACATTTTGATGTGGCAAACCTTTGAAGCCAATTTGGAGTGTAGTTGCAGATACCGCATAATGTATTCTTTGTGTCTTCGGATTTAGCCGCTTCCTCGCTATTCGATAGTGGTTCAATAACATCCATTCTAAAATAAACCAGTTTCGAGTTACAGGTTAAGTTCTGCTTTCAGTTATTGAAAACCATAACAGCTAATAATTTCACACAACAACAAGTTACACTTCAGATTGAGTACGTTACTAACACCAATACTTCTAAAATAGAATACATAATTAGAATGTGGCAAAAGAATGAAACAACGCAAATGCCGAAATTGCTAACATATCTACAGAACAAATCAAATCAGCGTAAGGTTTAAGAAAACACACATAACTGATGTTTGTTCGTATAAACCAATCCTCAGAGTGTATTAAGAAAGGCTATTTTATTGTTGTTTGCCATAGTGACGAAAATTATATTATTGATTGCTGAGCACAGATGGGCACAATGTTTGCACATTTCAAAATTAGACCGATTTCATGTTTTGCTTTCATTAAGTCTTTCTGCCCGCAGGGCGAAAGGAAAGCACAGCTTAAGGGCCCGTTTACACTTAGCGGAACTTTGGTCCCAAGAAGCGTAAGCTAACGTCCTAAGAAACGTAACCTAAGTCGAGCGGTTAATCTTCAAAGGGAATTGACGTAAACCCAAGAGATGGAAAATTTTAACTCCGAACCTATGAGATGAAAGCTTTGGCCAATCACAGACTTACAAACTATCACGAGGGTTTTGTTGATGCTTTAAGCGAAAAACATGGCGGAAGATTTGACTACGTCTGACTGCAAATTAATTGCAGAAGTACAACAACATCCGATTTTATGGGATAATAGAAAAAAAGAATATCGAATGAAAAGAGGACAAGACGTTGCTTGGCTACTGGTTGCCGAAAGACTGAACCGAGATGGTATGTATCCATTTATTTATTTTTTTGCTCCTTTCGGATTGCAATGTGCTCTCTTTTATTCTAGTTCTCTTTCGACTAACGCAATTGTTCAAGTACAAAATAGGTTTAATAACGATTACACGATAAAAATTTGTTGACATATGTTAAATTATAGCATTTTAGAACATTTCTGAAAATCTGAGTTTCATAAAATTTAAATAAGCTCAGTAGATGGATTTTTTAAAATTAAAGTTTATTAACTGCTTTAAAATGTATCTAAATGTACACTGTTCTATGAAAATTATATGCAGCAACCTTCAATTATATATATTTAAAATTTTTCCCAAATTATAGCAATTCAGATGATTACATAATTTTTAGCTATTGTCTTTACATTAGTTTGCTCTTCTTTTTTGCAACATGTTACTGAAAGGCTTATGAGAAGAAGAAAGTAAAAGTAGTAAGTGTGAAGATCAACAGTAGTAAAAATTTGATTAAAGTTTTCCTCCTCAATTTTCAGAAATACATTTTCTTCATTTCTCATGCAAATGTTTATTCCGAAATACATAAAAAATCCCTAAATATATAAATATATAAGATCCATATTTCATTTTCGTATGGATACATTTTGAATCTCATATAATTAGTATAATTGTTTGCATAAAATATTAATAATTAAACAGTAATTAATTACAGTGGTTGAATTAAAATTTCGGCTATATTTTTTTTTAATTTCACAGTTGAAGAGGTTACTTACCGGTGGCAGAATCTGCGTAAGCAATATAGCCGAAGAAAAACAAAATGCAAAAGTGGAGCTAGTGCAGAGTCTGCAGAGCAGCAATGGCATCTGATGCCCCAAATGTCATTTTTGGATCCATGTATCCGCCATCGAAGGTAAATATTCAGAACCAAATTATTTAGTTATGTTAAATATAAAATGATAAATTTTCATATTAACAAAATACAATCTTACTTACTTGTTAGTAGTCTGTAATATTATAAAGCATAAATGGATTATTTGGAGTTATCCTAGGTTGACTAGCAATCAAAAATTGTAACTTTATTGATATAAATTTATTAAATATGTTAGATAGTCACATATGTGGATATAAACCAATTTACTTAAGAAATTCCTCCCCTTAGGCAGATATGCTTTGCCATAACTCAAATTCTATCCAAATATTTACGCTCTGGAAAACAAAAACTTCTCCTACACAATTTTTTTTTTAACATTTATTGCCTCATCACTCGTTATGAATGGTTTAACACCTTGTAAATGTGTTGTAATAAAACTGTATTACACATTATAGTTTTTTTCTAACGTGTTTGGGCCAACTGAAGTTCTTACCCTTAAAAAATGTTGTAGAAACTTTGCTGTTCTGTACTTTTTTAATCTTCCCAATTAAAAATAGGCCAATATTTTTGCAATGTAAACTTATTAACAAAGTACAGCATATGCATAATATAAACAAAGCACTTGCTCTTTCCTTTGAAAGCTGAGTTTCTAAATATTTTGATGAAGACTCGTCTGTATATGTTTTTTTTTTTTTTTTTTTTTTGTGGCCAATTTCTTTTTATAGTTTATCCCTCTATAGTTGATGCCCATATTTCTGTACTCACACAGCTCAAAACTGATGTGTTACTGACCATTTTGATGTTCAGAAGTTAGTGTTTGAGATTATGCATACCTGCTTTAATTTTATGAAGTTACTTTGCACTTAATACATAAAGCCTGGGATTAATTATCATAATATATACCATCAGATCAAGGAGTTGTGCTGCTTAAATTATTACATTAATTCATAATGAAAATAAATACAAAAGTATATATGAAACTGAATTAAAAAATGAAGTTGTAATACTTTATTACTGAATTAACTGTTAAAATCTTTCATGGCATGAAATTTTTCAAAACAGTCCCCAAAGTATAGTGATCTTTTTTTTTATTTATAGAATGTGAAATGTGTAAGCCAAGATTATATAAAATTGTCTTAAACTGTAAGATACAAAAAATTTGATAAAATTCTCTTGTGATTGTGTTTCTATAAAAAGAAATAAGAGTTATTAGTGGCTCAATATTTTCATTTATTACGTAAGGGCTTTGTATGCATATTCAAAATTTCTTCAATGAAGGCAAGAGATTCTTCTTTTTCATCTAAAATATTGATTTCTTTATAATATATTACTATATGAAGTCATTTAAAGTCATCTCTATTTAGGGCATACTACATTATTGTTACTGTCAAAAACACTACTGTCATCACAACTGTTAAATTGCAGCCTCCAATAGTAATATTTACATCCATGTTATTTAACTCATAATCCCGCTCATCTTCACTACTATAAATTTGATTTTCTATGGCATTAATATAAATAAATGTTACATTATAAATAACATTTATTTGGATTAATGAGAAGGATGAAACTGTTTGTGCTGAGATGACAGATTGTCATAATTTTGTTCCCTGGTTGTTAATTTTAATCTGAGATGCGATTCCACGTCCAATAATCTGTTCCATTTTTTCATCTTAATGTCTACAAATACAGGCAAATACCGAAAATCCGCCAACTCCTGAAATCCGCGTTGCCTCTCAGAATATAAGCATTCAGTTTATATTCTGAGTTTCTTGGTTTCGGAAACCGCAACATTGAGTACGAAATATCGAAGAAAAAATACTTACCGAATAATGACGTCATAATAACTGAATAATAATGAGTCATAATGGAAATACCAAATTATTGACATAAAAAGTTTAAGAAAAAAGATAAGTTTTTTTCCTTCTAATCTGCATCGAGGTAAAAAAGCAGACGATTCACTCTTTGTTCAAGTTCATGATTCACGTTGTTGTATTTTCTGAGCTTTGTTATTTTCACAAGATTGTTTAGTGCTGCCTTTTTTTTTTTATCCGGATATTTTGTGGATAAATTAAGAATATTTTAAATTTCAGTCCTTGTTAATACAATGACAGATAAGAAACACACTCATGATTTTACTGCTTGCAACTTTGAAAAACGTAAACACGTTGCATTGACAGTAACGCAAAAAGTGCAAATTCTGTAAAAGATGGAGGCAGGTGCTACTCCTCTATATAGCAGAATGGTATGGAATTGCGACATGATTGTGTATGATATACGGAAAAATAAAGAAAAGCTGTTGACATTTTACAGCAACAGTGATTCTAACGCTGCAATCCGAAATCTTTGCATGAGGCGAAATCGGCAAACCTCGATGCTGTGTACATATAATTCAATGAATAATATAATCATATATGTAATAATAATTTAATGCATATAATAAATTATTGCAGTAATGTATGTAATTTAATTAAATGTATCTAATACACCTTATTTATTTTGCACCATACGTCGAAAAATAAATTATTCATGTCATTTTGCCTTCTCCATATTTGTACGATAAAATTATTAGTGAGTAAATATGACAATTTGGTTGTATATTGCAGTACAAAAGATTCAAAGAGTGATGATGATTTTACCCCTCCCCATATTTGATAAAATATTATTTTAATTAAAAACAAAATGTGATCCAGCACTTGCTCCAAGAACGTAATGACTAGGAATTACCCCATACAACTGGATGTAACAAACTGTATTTTTTTAGAAATTATTCTTGCAAATATTAATAAACACAAAATATTATGTAAGAAAAGAATCCAATGGGATGTTATAATTCAAATTAACAAAAAAAGGCTTTTTAGTTTCAGGTAATCACACTGAAGCAAGAAGACTCTTGGTTTACATTATTTTTCATGCTAAATTTTAAGATCTATTTAAATTGTCTGCAGTTCATAAGTAATAAAAAATTAAAAAATAAGCTATTTAATGCAGTAACAAATAAGATTCTAAATTTGCTTATTTCACTACCTAATTACTTTGTATCACAAAATAATCATTAATGTATTAAAAATATTTTTCATATGCATTTGATTTTTTTTCCTTGTTTTCTTTCTAAACAGGACACAGACAAACTTTCAAGGAAACAAAGAATTCGAGGAGCTTAATTTCACAGTAGAATCTGTTGTCTCCGAGTCTTCAGATAATATTGAATATCCGACAGAACCTGAATATGTGGAGCCATCTGTTATTCACGTTATGCCCTCATGTGAATCACCTTTATCACCTGCATCAAGCTCCAGACAAATCTTAGATAACACTAATTCAAATAATAATGATGAAAATACTCCTAGAGGGAAGAAAAGAAAAAAGAAAGAAACAGTTGAAAGTTCATTGCTTTCTGTTATTGATGAAACAAATAAATATTTAAAAAATCACCATCGATGTGAAAATGATGATGACGATGATGATAAACTATTTTTATTGAGTCTCCATAGTGATTTGAAAAAAATGACCGATGAAAAAAAATTGGAAACGAAAATACAATTTTTACAAATTATGGCAAGAAATAAATGAAATTATTTGTACATAACACTAATCAGTTGTTTTATTGTTTTATTTACATATTTCATAAATATTTTCAAAAAATAAATTTACACAAGAAATGCTTTCCTTTCTTGCCATGGTACTGCTCCTTCTGCAGAAAAATATTCACAAAAATTATCTCGAACTGCAGATGCAGCACGGGATGAATTATTGGCCCCTAGACGGCCAAGAGGTTGCCATGTAAATTCTTCTGTTCTCCACATACCTTCTTTAATGGTGGCATTTGAAAGAAGAGAATCAGCAAAGTTCACTGGACAGTATTTCTTAGCTGCCTTTCCCAACTCATTTTTCATTAAGTAATTATGAAGGCAACAGCATGCCAAAACTACTTTATTAGCATGCTCTGGGTTCAGGGCAATTTCAGTACGAAGTACTCTCCACCTAGACGCCAATATGCCGAAAGCATTTTCAACGCACCTCCTTGCTCGAGAAAGTCTGTAATTAAAAATTTTTCTTTCATTCGACAGAAATTTGCCAGGATAAGGGCGTAAAATATTTTTCCTGAGTGGAAAAGCCTCATCTCCAACAAATACAAAAGGCAAAACTCGATCACTATTTAATAATGGTGTTGGATTTGGCAATGAAAACAAAGTTTCACTAACCAAAGCTTTACCTAGTGAACAGTTACTGAAAATTCCACCATCACTGATGCGTCCATAGTTGCCTGAATCAACATAAAGGAAAGTGTAACTAGCATCTGCCACTGCCATTAGGACTATGCTGTTATAGCCCTTATAATTATAATATGTTGATTCCAGCTGACGGTGGAGCTTGTATTCTGATATGCTTACCTACAAGGAAAAAAAAAGCAATAATTATTAATTGCCTAAAGAAAAATAATATACACTTTAATGATAAAAATTAATATAAATACTTTTTCCAATAATAAATTCAGTTCTTAAAAAAGTTCTTAAATTAGAAACTTGCAAAAAAATTCCTTTTTATATTAAAATTTGTTTTTCATTTCACACTTTCATTTATTTATTATGAAACAATTCCAGTCTTTTGATATTTTAAGACAGCTCATATATCAAGTTAGATGATTCTGCAATATTTTATATTTATCTTTGAAAAGAATCTTCATTTGCCTAATTTTAATATAATGCAATTTTTGTATTTCAAAAGTACTCACTGACAAATAAATATGGAATGCAAGACATAATACATACCATCGATTGCACCAACACAGTTGGGAAAATTCCATTTATATTCAAAACCTTCTGCTATTACAGCCCATTCATCTGATGATGCTGGTATAGCCATAACCAGTGGCTGTAAGACTTGCCATATGACATCACAGGTCTCTCGAATAATATGTGAAACTGAAGATTTAGAAACACGGAAAGTGTATGCCAGGTCTGTATAATTAGTTCCAGATGCTAGAAATCTACAAAAACATTCTGAATCAATAATTAAATTTTTGCAGTTTTAAAAACATGTTTAAAAATGAACAAAGGGCAATCTGTAGCAGTATGCAAGTTTTAAAAAAGGTTCTTTTTTTTGGGGGGGGGGTCAGTTTCAAAGAGATTGCAATTTTCTTTCTTATTATTAAACCACAGAAAATAAATGCTTTATTTATGTAACTTATTTTGATAAAATTATGTTCCTATTCATAATTTTTTAAATGCATTACAAATTTAAAAAAAAATATGAATTTTAAAAAGTTCAATTAGACAGAAGTATAAAATGTTCTGACAAGAACATTAATTTTCAATTATATATACTACACAAAACTGGAATTAGATGTAATAAAGACTTTCAAATAGAGCTGGTGCCAGAGCATATGCAACCAGTGTGACCACACCAGATGACAAAATTATTAGAATTTAGGAAGGAATCAGGTGGCAGAATTTCAGGATTTGTGGAGTTTGCACCAGGCGGTAAATTGTATAGCGTCGACACTGCTTTCAAAACAAATGTATATATTTATATTTACCTTAAACAGATGGCAAGTCTCTCAGACGCTGAAATTGATTTCCTAAAACGTGTTTCTTGCTTCTGTAGTTTATCTTGCAGTAAATGAAGAAGATGATCATATTGTTCTCCCTACATGTAAATTCAATAATATTATACTTATGAGTAAATTGAACATCAGAACTGTATTTAATTATCTAATTAATATAAAAACAAACGCAAAATAGTTTATATTGTGCTAAAATGATTAGCCAAAGTAAGAGAAAATAATTTTGTTGTCTTGAAAAATTGCTTGAAGTATATCTTATCTTACTATTTCTAACAATTAACACTTTTAGCGATTACTCGCATGTTATTAACAAAAATAACATAAACTCCATAATTAGAAATGATTTTAGCCTTCTGGGAAGGTGATAACTTTCAACATGATTATTTGATTATGCACCACACACTAGGGTTACCTGCTTAATGGTAACCCTAATGTCATCAGGAAGATTTTTTAAGGTAAACTAATTTACATTTATATCTTGGACAGATATGCACAAAATGCCTATGTTCTAAACCCTTTCATCAGGTATTGAACAATTAATGTTCAGTGTTTTTATTTATTTAGCCACCGACGGGATATTATAGCAACCTTCAGAGAATATAGTTATCTGTGATTGTCATTACCAATGTTTGTTTATATTCTCAGGAATACTTTTGACTATTGAAGGTGCTCAACATGAGGGGCATCACTATATACTTATATTGCCGAAAAATATATACTGTGTTGCTGCAACTATGATCAGTGAAAAATATTCAGTTATTTATCTTACAAATTTGAAAAAATAAAATATGATAATTCTGATTAAAAGGAAAATTACTCTCCATTTCAATTTCACTCTTATACTCTAACAATTGCTTAATTTTTCAGGTAGTAGAATTTCATTAAATAATCTATTTTGATACAATTATTCTTACATTCTTTTAGGAGGTTAAGTGTTTTTCATCATATTACTACAATATTCTCCAAAAATGATTTTTTAAAATATTGACATGATTTAATTTTATTGCTCATTTGTCAAATATAAAACACAGGTGGAACAGGAATGCAGAAAATCTTTTAAAAGCAAGTCTTTTTATGGATCTCCCAAATTCTCTAGAATATATTATTTAAAAGCCTAATTATTTTATATTTCTGGTTCTACAAAAGTATTTTCATGACAAAGTGAAGCAATACTAATAAAATTCATGACAGTAATAATTAAAAAATCTACGGATACAGAATGCTGGGTATTTTCTAACAGAGGAACATATCCTAATACACGATAGTGCATTAAAATGTTGACTGTCCAACATCTGGCACATCTAGTAATTTTACATTATACTCAATCTGATATTATGTTTCATTAAGGTAATCGAATTATAAACAACCTTCATTAATAATGCGCTTAATAAACCAATTAAACTAATTAGTTATAACTAATGCTAGTCCATAATTATATAAAAAATCATTTTGTCGGTAATTAAATCGCAATGTAATCATTAATCCTATTTCCTTAGTATAAATTACTAAGGAAAAAAATTACTAATTTACTGATATATAAAAAGAAATATTTGACAGTCTTTCCTTCAATTTTTACTTTCAGGTTTTGCTAAAAAATAAAAATAACTTACCGTCATTCGAGTATAATTGAAAAATAATTCTGGGTACTTCTGCCTCAGTGACGGAAACAATGCTGCATGAGCGGAATACGTATCTCGCTCTTGAAATATTGACCGAACCCATTCCCGCCTTGGAACGCAAACGCTTTTGTACAGCAAATACATACATATTAAATTACTTCTCAAATGCATAACGCGCTTTCTTTCTTCAGCTTTTTTAACTTTAGACATTCTACTGCAAACTTTCGACATTGTACCCCAAAATAGGAAATATTGCCCATGCGCAAATCAAAGCGACTTGATTGGTTGGGGGTAGTAATTCTTAGGCTTTGAGACTTACAAGTGTAAACGGGTGGGATCCTTGGGAGTAACAACTTAACGTTAGCGTACGTTTCTTGGGATCAAGTTCCGCTAGTGTAAACGGGCCTTTAGAAGTGGAATTTTATTTATTCCATTTATTTATTTATTACGTACTCTGCGAATTACTACATAGAAAGAGAGGTGTGATTTGTGTCTTTTTAAGGGAAGCTGGATTGTTTTTAAGTTTCCAATCCGAAAAACCAAGAAAACGTCCATAAAAGAGCCTAAGGCAAAGAATCTCTAAGGAGATTCTCCTTGCCTAAGGGGTCTAGACTGGAAAGAGAAGCACTAAACTACCTTAACATGAATGTATCCTAACGGGCAATGAACAGTGTGTCAAAATTGAAGAAGTTGAAAATATTAACTTAATATAAATAAAGATAATAAGTATTGTGATGTTTCATTCCAATAATTGAGCACTCCTGAACATTTGCTTTTATAAGAGGAATAAACGAAGCTAGCCCCCCCCCTCTGATCAGAAGTGTGGCGCTTTGAAAACTCTTTAAATATACTCAAGTTATTTGAAGAAAAAAAGAAAAGAGGGATGGATAACATTTTAAAATCTAGTCCGGATGTTCACGTTCAGCCAAGACAGAAAAGAAAAAATAGGAGAGGAAGTTTGAACATGGATTCAACCATGAGACACAACAGCAAGAAAGAAACACAACGTCAGACAAAAAAAGTAGATTTCCATGTATTTTTTAAAACACAGCAGCAGGCAAAAGTAGATATTCATACACAGTTAGAGACCCCATCATTAAAAAAATTAAAAATTAAACTAAAAATAAAGAGAAAGAGATAGATAGAGAAGGGTGTTGGGAATGGCATCACTACGCCAGCGAATAAAAAGCCAGATAGAGACTGACGTCATGGGACGCCAGAGGAAAACGAACAGTTCCGGTTTAGTTAGTTAAGCACGATGTTTGCATGATGTGGCTAGATAGATATTGTATAGATAAATATTTTTATATTCTTGTAACTTGTCTTTATGTGTAAATAAATCTTTTTGCTTAAGTTTAAATGAAGTACTCCATTTATGACAAGATAGCTGTTAATTCATCGGGTAGATGACTTACGAATCCCTTCTGAGCTAGCCATTGTTCGAACGTAACGCCTTACGTAACATATCAAAGGGGGATCTATACACAGCTGCTTTCAAAGTGAATAGTAATAAGTTAGAACCTACAGTAAAGCGTCAACTTTAGATAAAAGTACTAAATATTTTGAGCCAATGATCAACATCACGAAATCATCGCATAACTTTAAAATACCAGGATCTTTACAGCCACAAAAATTCCCAGTAGTTACAACAACAGCAACAACAACAACAACAACAACAAAAAAAAAAAAAAAAAAAAAGACAGAATATGATCAAGAAAAACCAGCTTAAGCGCTTCCAAGTAAAACTTCAACAATCATAGAGCAAAAATAAAAATAATATTAAAGCATGAATGCATAAGTGCAGCTTAAGGAACGGCTCTAATTTTCATGATGCAATAATCATCCTGCGAACGGAATACAATTTTTAAATCCTAAGTACTGAAATTTTTATAACAAAAATAAATGAATGAGTAAAAGAGAAAAAATATCACCCCATGTTCGTAAGCAACATTAATAAATTCATTAATTTCAACGAGCAAACAATTCTTTCTTCCCTCTCTTGCAGCAAATACTGAAGGTCAACGAATTACGGTCTCTACCAAGTAAAAAAGCTCTTCTTTTCTCATCAATAGAGTGGGGGTGAGGAGAAATAAAGTCCCGTGCTATGGCGTGGGTACGGCGTTATATAGAAACGAATTATATGTATATAAAAGGATAAAACATATTAAGATGATAAATGATGAGCAGTAAATGAAGAAGAAGGAAGGAAAACATCCTCCCTTGGCCATGCGATTTCAGATTATATCCATAAAAGAATATTTTAAATTCTTGGAAGGGAAAAGAGACATAAGCAAAAGATTATCATTTTCTACTACTAATGGAGAATAGTAAGGATAGTCAGTGTTGATAAAGTAAATGAAAATATATCTCTGAGCAGTTTTAACTTCCAAATAAGTATGTTAAGAAATAAAATGAAGAGGAATTTCCAAAACACAACCGCACCTTCGCCCACTGCGTTCCTCGTTTAGCGTGAAGCACCCGAATAGTACATTTTTAAAAAATTTGTTTACAGTGAATTTAGTCGCAAATAAGAAATTTTACTCGCAGTCAGTATAGACTAAAAAAGAATGCAAATCCTACATAGTAAAATCCTGCTAACAATGAAACTGTGATGAACAAATATGTGAATAATGAAATAAGATTCAGATCCTAGGAAGTAAATTTTATCTTCAGTCAACAGAACACCAGTCATTTACAGTTCCGGGATTCAGGAAAGCCATGTCTTAGACGATGAACACTTTAGTTTTCTGTAATTGACTTTAAAAGATATTTTGAGATAACATTTAACATGTTTTATTCATTTTATATTCAGAGATTTCTAGAAACTTCATATTAATATTTTCTATGTCTTAACTCTCATAACAAAGCATGGCAGCAAATGATTTACAGGCCCATAAATTTTGCCTGAAAAATTATGGCCAGTTTGCGTTGCAGGCAAAGAGTTTGTCAGTGAGGACTTTTTTGTTTTTTGGTATTGTATGTCTAGGAAATACCACGAGCTTAGAAGTTAACAATAAAGAAAGGAGGATTATTAGAAGATCAAAAAATGAGTCCAACAAGCAGTGACGTAGCTAGGGTTTCCAGAGTCCTGGCCCAAATGAAGATGTCTCTCCCCCTTCTGTTTGCCAAAATGTAATGAGGAACATCGATCTGGCCCCCCCCATGAATGCTGCGCTCAGATCATATGCTTCCCCTTGCTCCGCCCCCCATCTATGAAATTGCCAGGAAAAGAGAACTGAAACAACTTCAGAGGCAAAAGTAAAAAGAATTATAGAGAAATGGCTTCAAAGAAAGAGAGGCCAGAAGAAGATAAACTGAGTTCTCTGATCCACGAGATTTGTGAAAAATGGAGTAGGGTGAAAACTTTAATTTAATGAATTCACCCTGATGCAGCACCAGCAAGCTACAGCAGAACATTATCAATGATAACAACATGTCTGACATTAGAAATATTTTAAATGACGACAACAAATCGCATCGGACAAATTTTGAGCGTAACGGAGATCCAATAAGATTCAAGCAGAGTTGATTGATGTTAAAAGTAAAGAAAAGATAAAAGAAGATGTCTCAGGAAGATAGTTACCTGATGTTTCTATGGAAGGGGATTTTTTACCCCACAAGTTATCAACCAGAGGGAAATCTCCTTGGCTAAGAATTTCATTGTTTTAGGCGGATGCAGTTGTTGAGCAACCTGTTGAGTATTTAGTTTTAGTTTATGAATGTAAAAGCTACTTTTACTCAAGTTTTGATATTTATCAATATTTTCTATACTTTTTATTGTTTATTTAAAACGCATTAAACGCAATCTAAATTTAAATAGATATATATGTATCTTTTGAGTTTAGGAAAGAGAGAAGGATCTTCTAACAATGGTGAAAGGAGCTAATGAGGCAACCACTGCTTTGTCCGAACAATAACACATCTCTTCTTTATTTTCCTCAGCACTTTGTATAGTCTTTATAAAGATAATGTAAAATAAAATTAAATTTTCGCCTGTTTTATTAATTTTATATCGAAATACATTTTATACCGTATTCATTGCCTCAGATTTAAGGATTTTTAATTTTCGCACAAAGTATTGTTGTAAGTTTTAAATAAGCCATCATCTATAATCCATGAAGGGGTATATTTTACATTAAATCCTATGGAAAAAATTATTTTGGTTCAGGAATATGTAGGACTATGAGCGGTCTTCAGGAATGAATTCAGTTCGACATCCGCGGTTTCATCGCATTCCTATGTATGAAGAAAGGTGCTTCCTGCCTCAATGCTTAGTTAGTATTCTACAGCGTTTTATCTTCGAATAATGAAAATTGTAGCCAAATGCTTTGAAGCAAATTTCCAATAAAGAAGTGGAAAATATCAGTGACAGTGATCCAAAAACCAGTTTCTTAGGTATTTATATTTTGAGTTACTGGAAACAGCTGAAAATCTTTCTTTGATAAATCCAATGATTACAATTTCAGAAACGAAATTATGAACGGATTGGAAGTGATAAAACAAAACAATCATGGAGCAGTTAAACGAGGATGTCACAATTTAAAAAAAAATGTAATCTCGAATAGCAAAAGAAATAGAAGTGGCAAAGCAGAAAACTATTTAATCAAGATCACTTGGCGTGAAGTCTGTGAAGCGTTAAATACATTTGCAAAATTCATCGAAAAACTAAAACATATCATATTACATATTGATATAAATGCTAATTTTCTATGGAATTATTATTATTATTATTATTATTATTTTGAAAAAAGGGAGTGTCGATGTAGCTGGTGGACATCCGAAAACTTTGCCTGGAAAGACTTCATGCACTGGCGATAATGATAACTTCAAAATCTGATTAAATAAAACTAAACGATGAATAACTTAGTTTGCAATTACAAATTTATATCACAGTTTACGATCACTTGGAATTATCTCCTCACTAGCAGAGCTCTAAGTACTTTGTATGCTAATCGATTTTCTTTGAACAAAATGCTAGCAGTTTTTGATTTACCGAAAAGTGGGTAGGATTTTATATCTCTATCTCAAGCGAGCCGTATTTTTCCTGTCATGCTAATATGCGAAAATGGCGAAATGAGAAATAAATAAAACTATATATATATGAAATCATATGGACATGCAGTGTGAAAGCATGCGAAAGAAAAGTATGTGTTCTCGCAACTGACTCAGTGTTCCAGAAATATCGTTTGTAAGAACGCATAGGTTGGATTATCCGAGCATGGCAAGGCGCACTAGACTGCCTGCATAAGATAAGGGATACCTTCGAGTGGACCTTCTTAGGGCAACCAGTCAAGTTCATGTTATACATCGGGGGAGGGGGACTACGAAAACACGCGTGGAGTCAGCCTGGTTGCTTGGACTAAAATCTTATGAAAAATCGTGTCAAAAGTT